GGGCTTCACTCCCCACCTTCCCTGCTTCTCCTTCAGGCATCTCCCCTTCCGGCCTCTACCCTTCCCTAGGACTCAGCCATTCTGGCCCCAGGCTTGTGTCAGATACTTCAGAGCAGCTTCCCTGGTCAGGGGAATGGCGTTGGGTCTAGGAACGTCTGGTATAGGCAGCTGTCAAGAACCACATGAAACCCTTACTTCCTCTGTATAGTGCAAGTTCGCAACCACAAGCGCCAAAGCAGAGGGGCAGACAGCACGCGCCAGGCAGCCGGAGCACCAACCCAGCCATGGTCACTGAGGTAAGTGCTGTTGTCCAGCCAGACCAGACCACTCTTTGAGTGGAGAGCCCAGGACACTAGGGGACCGGCAGGGCTGGCCCATGAGCCAGCACCACCAGAGGGTTGGGTGAATAGGTAGAGAATGCAGGGGTTGTGTAGAAGGGTCACTGGATGGGGAATTGAGAACCCACCTTGACCCTTGATTAGTGTGAATGACCACTGGCGAGTCACTTCCCTTCTCTGGCTGGTGCCTCATCTGCAAAATGCAGGAGGTGGTAGCTCACCATCAAGAGCTTGCAAGGCTCCCTTCGGCTCTGACTTGGAACTTTGGCTCCTCTGTGCTGGACTGAATTGGCACTGGGGAGGCCTGCAGCTCTGGGGTGGTTCATGGGAGAAGGCTGGAAGAACTATTTCTGCTACAGCTTGGTAGAGGAGCCCCCATTGGTGGCATCCTTGGTGTAAGGGAGGAAAAGAATGGCAGAAAGCATGCATAGGGGGCACAGTGATTTGCAGAGGCACCCCCATGGGGGTGAGTAGTGAAGAGGAGGGCCAGTAACCGGGAGAGGGGATGGTGAGGTGCTGCCTGCGGAGGAAGGTGGTAGAATTAGGTGTGGCCAGGACACAGAGAACAGCAAGCCTTGAAGGAAGAGAAAGGTGAAAATAGAGAGGGGCAGGGAAGGCTCTTGGCACAGGGCAAATTTCCTCCAGCCCATAATCCCTGGGCTGAAGGGATGGCCCCAAAGGGTGCGTTAGAATCAGCCTTTGAGAAGGAAAATTACATACCAGCACCAAGGCTGGGCAGGTGCAGTTCAGGAGGTGTGGCCTTGGAAGAAATGTGGGGACAATTACAGGGTGTGGCCCATGCCTCAAGACCTGCCTTACCGCAGAGAGGCTCCCAGAAAGGCTACATCTCTGAAGGAGTCGGTTTACATGGTCTGTTCCTTCTTCTCCCTCCCTCCACAGATCACTGACCCTGACTATTTCCTGGCAAACTATAGCTCTTCCTTTGACTATGGAGGAGAAAACGAGAGTGACCTCTGCTGTAATTCCCCACCCTGCCCACAAGACGTCAGCCTGAACTTTGACCGCGCCTTCCTGCCAGCCCTCTATGGCCTCCTCTTTGTGCTGGGGCTGCTGGGCAATGGCGCTGTGGTGGCTGTGCTGCTGAGCCAACGAGCAGCCCTGAGTAGCACCGACACCTTCCTGCTTCACCTGGCCGTGGCTGACGCCCTGCTGGTGCTAACCCTCCCCCTCTGGGCAGTGGACGCTGCGATCCAGTGGGTTTTTGGCTCTGGGCTCTGCAAAGTGGCAGGTGCCCTCTTCAACATCAACTTCTATGCAGGGGCCCTCCTGCTGGCCTGCATCAGCTTTGACCGGTACCTGAGCATAGTGCATGCTACTCAGCTCTACCGCCGGGGGCCCCCAGCTCGTGTGACCTTTACTTGTGTAGTTATCTGGGGGCAATGTCTACTCTTTGTCATCCCTGACTTCATTTTCCTGTCAGCCCACCATGACGCACGCCTCAATGCCACCCACTGCCAGTACAACTTCCAACAGGGGGGCCGCACGGCACTGCGCCTACTGCAACTAGTGGCTGGCTTCCTGCTGCCACTGATGGTCATGGCCTACTGTTATGCCCGCATCCTAGCTGTGCTGCTGGTCTCCAGGGGCCAGAGGCGACTGCGAGCCATGCGGCTGGTGGTAGTGGTAGTGGTCGCCTTTGCCCTCTGCTGGACCCCCTACCACTTGGTGGTGATGGTAGACACCCTCATGGACATGGGGGCTCTGGCCCGCGACTGTGCCCGAGAAAGCCGTGTGGACGTGGCCAAGTCTGTCACCTCAGGTCTTGGCTATATGCACTGCTGCCTCAACCCATTGCTCTATGCCTTCGTGGGTGTCAAGTTCCGAGAGCGAATGTGGACGCTACTTCTGCGCCTGGGCTGCCCTGGCCAGAGTGGGCACCAGCGGCAGCTGCCATCTTCCCGCCGGGATTCATCCTGGTCTGAGACCACAGAGGCCTCCTACTCGGGCTTGTGAGGCTGGGCTTGAGGGTGACCCCTTTGCCATGCAGCCTGATTCCCTCCCACATTTTAGGTTCCTTTCTCCCTCTCTCTTCCCTGGTCCTGGCTCCCCAGGTGCACACTCCTGGGATTTCCTGGGAGCCACCCTCCTGACTCTTGGGACTTCGCCATCGCTGCTCCTTAGTTACCAAGCCTTATCCTGCCGATTCAGAGTTGGCTGCCTTCATGCCCTTCTTTCTTTGGCTGCATGAAACCCCACCACCCTCTTAATTCAGTAACTAGACTTTGGCCTTCCCCATGTGCAAAGAGCATGAAGCAAGCAAGCATGGTGGAAGCTGTCCCTATGGGGTCTTAGCCCAGGCCTCCAGCCCAGCGGTCACTAGCTATTGTCCCCAACACCTATCTATTTGCTCATTTTTATGTCTAAAATTCTGCTTAAAATTTTTCAATAAACAAGATAATGAGGATCAAAGTGTGGTAGTAGTGCCTCATTCCAGCCAGCCCTGTCCCGGCTCTGGGATGCACTTCCTGCTTCTCCTTCCCTATCCCTGGGACTGGGCCAACCAATGCTGCCTGTTCATGTTTATGTCTGGCTTCTTCTCCGCCCTCCTGGGCACTCCTGTCACTTTCAGGGAAGCACCTAGGTACATGGGTGCAGGATAAGCAGCCAACTGGCTGGCTGGACACTGTATAGGTATACTTTAGGGAAAGGGCCTTCAGACATAAATAAGACACAGTCCTGAACTCCAAAAGCTTAGGCCATCAGGGAAGATATGATGAGAATTAACAATACCAAGCAGTCTAGGCCATAAAGCAAACATGTGGCACACACGGTGAACCTGGGGCTCAAAGCACTGTGGCTAGGGCCATTTGGGATGGCTTCGTGAAGACAGAAATGAGCAGACCTTAAAGAGCTAGTAGTATTTCCTGGGACAAGAAGGAAAAAGGGCATTTCCAGGAAGGGAGGGCCAAAGCAAAACTGGGAAGGCTAAAAACAGCAATGCTTATTGGAGGAATTATAAGTGGTCTCATCTGGCTAGAGTTAAGGATTCATCTAGGAAAAGAGTTGAAAATAAGACCAAGTTAGTTTGGGGTCAGGTGGTGGTATTCTAGAGACCAGTGGAGAAGGCTGTCATGGTTAGTCAGGTGAGCCAGGCTTTTCCTTGGGAAATGGCAGATGATTAGCTGACAGTCATTAGCACAAAGGCCATCTGGAGGCACGGGTGGGCTGTGAGGAGCTTTGTCCCACGCTATAGCTAGGGAGAAATGACCAGGGCTACCCAAAATGGTTGCTGACTGGGTTACTGAGTTAAGGGAGAGGCCAGAACCCTCCCTTTGTAGGGCAGAATCGCCACAGTCAGCTCCCCCTAAATCCCCGGAGTGTCATGATCCAGTCTTACAGGCCAGCAGGGCCTTTACTGAGACCACAGATATGGCTGGAGGTAGGAATGGAGAGAAGGGACTGAAGGATATAGCTGGGGAAGGTCATGCCATGCTTTGTACACAACCAATCCCATCTAGACTGGTGGCGAGGCTTCCGTCTATGGCCACTGAAAGAACACTAAGTACCTGCTGAATGAAGGAATGACAGCACAAGCAGCCTCTAAACCGGAACAGTGATGCCAGACTAGTGAAGATGTGTGTGGCAAATTCCCACAAGCTTAGTGACATTGAATAATGAGTCCCCAGAGATGGCCACATTCTTTTGGAATATGTTACCTTACATGGCAAAGGGAACTGAGGCAGTTAATCAGTTGACCTTAAAATAAGCTTCTCCTGGATTATCCAGGTGGGCCCACTGTCATCACCTGGGTCCTTAAAAGTGAAAGAGGGAGGTAAAAGGGGAGTCAGAAAAGCAGACACTGACAGCTTTAAAGACTTGAAGTTGGAGGAAGACTTAAATTTGGGATTGCAACAGCCTCCAGAAGCTGGGGAAAGACAAAGAAATGGTTCCCTGAGCCTCCAGAGGGGAATGCAGCTCCACCGATACCTGAATTACAGTTCAGTGAGGCCTGTGCCACACTTCCAACCTACAGAGTGGTAAGATAACAATGTCACTAAGCTTGTGGTAATTTGTTATAGCAGCAATCTGAAACAAATACATTGGTTCCATCTATATCCCATATAGCTCCCAGATGTGGGGAGGCTGCTGACATACTTGTGAGCAGTCACAAGAATCAGAGAAAAACCCGGAACAGAGAATGCTCTTTCTGGCACATCCAGGAGAGCTTCAGGTATCGGGAGCTTGTTCTGCTCTTGGCACAGGTTGTCAATAAACAGACTTCGTTAACAAGTGAATTTCAGAAAACATTTTATTTATTTTTATGAACAATTGGCAAGAGAAACTAAATTCATGAAACATGCTTTTTATTTCTGGGTAGGTGTTACTGGTTATATCTGCCAGCAGTCCTTGATACCTTTAAAATGTGTTCCCTGCTGAAACTGGTCTGGCTCAGTGGATAGAGCATCAGTCTGCGGACTGGAGGGTTCCAGGTTCGATTCTGGACAAGGGCATGTACATTGATTATGGGCACATCCCCAGTAGGGGTGTGCAGGAGGCAGCTGGTCGATGTTTCTCTCTCATCAATGTTTCGCTCTATTCCTCTCCCTTCCTCTCTGTGAAAAATCAGTAAAAAATATATATATTTTTAAATGTGTTCCCTTTCCAGCATTACTCACATTCTCTCTGCTGGCCACTCTCAAAAATGTATTTTGATTTCGCATTTGATTCTACAAGTTACAACTCTGGAGTGTAAGTAAGACACAAGGTGGGCCCAAAGGGCTTCTGCGCACTGTCAAGGGCACAAAGTGCTGGGTAATATAATCTTTGGTTAAAGAACAATTATCAACAATAAAAGCTTTATAAAAAGGATTTAAATTATATTATTCATAACTTTATAGAAATAAAGGTATTTTTCTAAAACTTCTTCACAGTAGAGGACTCGGCTCACACAGATACCCTCTCACATAACCTCAAAGGTTTTTCTTTTCTTTACAGATAAAGTAATCTTTGCTGAGCGTTCTCATCACATCCCATGGGTGATGCCTGCCATCTGCTCCCTGACTAATCTGTAATGCAGCTTCACATATTTGTCAAAGGGTCTCACATGGGGCTTTATGGGGGTCCCATCTTTCCGAGTTAACGGCAGCAGGACCAGAGGTCCCTTGCATTCAACACGGACAAAGCGCCCAACATCCAACGATCTGGTGTAGCGGCCAATCCTAAGAAGGAAAGACATATCACACAACAAAGGGTTGGTTACTATAACTCAGCCTCTTCTTTGAGCTAGCTTTGGGCCCAAAGCCAGATTTTCTGGGGATTCTCAGAGAGTGAAACACCAAGAAGCAGCAGTGGTCAGACTGGCTCAAAGTAGGGAAGACTGGAGAAAAGAGGACACAGAAAGGAGTAAAGAGGTTTTACTCCTCAAGTCAGACAGCCATGTACTTACTAATGTAATCACTGAAGAACCACTTGGAAGCCTTAGTAAAAACATAATTGGAAAAAGGATCTTACCTGGTTTTGCATCGAGCACACTCATAATAAATCTTGTAGTTAATCTTGTAGTTATGGCAACGGGTGACCAAGGGCAGCTCTGGGTGCACTATATTACATTTTCTGGCATAATTTCTCCATGCTTGACCATGAGAATCACGGATGCCATCAAGCAGCCAGGAGGCTGCATGGCATAGCTCATGGATCAAAGTATCCCGGATTCAGTCTTAGAAAAGGAATAAAAAGAAACCATGAGCACTTAACCCAATTCCCTTCTGATCACTATCCAAGCAGCCCTGGACTCTCATCCCCACCACACAAAATACCACCTTATATAAACATAGGCAGGTGAGCATGAGTGTTATCTTCCCAGGATTCTGAAAGGGAAATTTCTACCCATTTCAACCCGATATGGTAAATGGCAGAACCTTGAATGATGAATCTTTTGGAGCAGCTCAATCTTGCTTATCTTTCCGTGGGGCGCTGCCAGAAATACACCTGGCCAAGACCTGGTTTCTGCCCTCCAGGTAGATAAGTGGACAAGGTGGGGAACAATCACCAGAGCTATGCCATTTGGTCAGAAAAGCACCATGGAGAAACTGGGATCTGAGCTAGGCCCTTAACAATTGATTGGATTTGCAAAATTAGAAAAGCCATTCTAGGTGTGAAAAATGCACAAAGATTGAGTCCAGGAAAGCCTGGGGTCCATTCTGAAAGCCAGTGGGAAACCAGCCTTGCTGGAGCGCAGGCTAGTGGTGGAGCAGTGGGAGCCAAGACAACAACAGCCTTGAAAGCCAGGCTTCAGGCACTGGCAAGCCCCAGGTTTCTTAGCAGAGAGAAGAGTGAGGTGATGAGGGTCCATACCTGGGCAGAAGCAAAGATAGAGAAGGAATAACAGGAGAGTGATTATGAAGATCTGGTGATCGGCTAGATGTAGAGAGCCTTGACCCTCAGGTACGGGGAGAATAAAGCTGCTGCTGGTGATGGATTTAGAGGCAGAGAAGCATCCAACAGACTGTCAAACTACAGTAGGAAGGCTGGGGAGAGTTGTGAGGGGTAAGAGATCAACCGAAGGACTTGTATGCATGCAAATAAGCATAACCGATGGACACAGACACTGGGGGGGGGGGGGGGTGGGGGCATGTGCTAGGGGGTAGGGGAGGCTGGGGGAAGGTCAATGGGGAAAAAAGGAAACATATGTATTACTATTTGTAATACTTTAAACAATAAATAAATAAATAAATAAATAAATAAATAAATAAATAAATGAAAAATATGCTGCTGCTGCCAACAGGAAGCTGCAGAGAGAAAGCTAGGCTTACTAGAAAGATGGGCAAGTGGGACTCTCAAGATGGTGAGACATCCAATAATAATCTCCTCTAAGCAACACACAGTAGGTCTGTCCACCCTAAAATGACAGGTAAGGCTGTGACATAGTATGCCAGAGAATATCAGCACCTAAAAGTAACTTAACAGGCACTGTGTCAGAAGACAAAAGCCCAGAAGGAAAGCTGCCATGCTGCTGCTGTCACCTGCAGAATCGCAGACTTTCAGAGAAATCTCAATCTTAGTATAGTGCTCCTTCCGGTAATGAAACAGGCCAGAGCTGCACAAGCCAGCAGTTCTCAGCATCTTATTATTCCAGTGGATATCCAGTCTCTCTGGCAGCTGAGAAAGACAAGCAAACAGTGAAGCAGAAAGCAATTCTAAGCAGACCGGAAAATATTAACTCAAAAGTTTTTGCAGCCGAAACCGGTTTGGCTCAGTGGCTAGAGCGTCGGCCTGGGGACTGAAAGGTCCCAGGTTCGATTCCAGTCAAGGGCATGTACCTTGGTTGCAGGCACATCCCCAGTGGGGGGTGTGCAAGAGGCAGCTGATCGATGATTCTCTCTCATCGATGTTTCTAACTCTCTATCCCTCTCTCTTTCTCTGTAAAAAATCAATAAAATATATTTATTAAAAAAAAGTTTTTGCAAATCTAAACATTCTGGGGAGAATAAAAGGCAAGTCAAAACTCAGACAAAGACCATTAACAGGCCATCAGGATGCAAGGGAGACTCTGAGAGCATGGTAGTGCAGGGGCTGTGCTCCCTCGCATGGAGACCAAGTCAGGGGTAGCCAGGAGAGGACAAACCAGCTGAGGTAGATGTGACCTGTGTAAGAGGGTGAGGCACAATTGAAAACACAACTCAGAACTTAAAGTTCCGCTAATCAGTCATCTGATGTGGCATCAAGAAGGACACCAAAAAATGGGGAACCGTTAAAATGACAGAACTTTCACTGCAGAGACAATAAAGTCTGAGAAACCTAATGGCCAATGGGTCTGTCTCTCTGCCCCCAGATTCCTCCCAATCTAGTCTGAACCCATGCTTCTGATTTCTTTCTTTTAGCAGCCGCTTCATAGCATATCCCTGTGCAGTGGTGCCTACTAATTTCAATTTAAGCTCTCCCAACCTGATTCCCAAGGCTGTCCATTATCTGGTCCTACACTATCAAAAAAGAGCTAACATGTATTACTGACTATGCTATAAGTCTTGTTCTAATACACTTCAGGTGTATTAACTTACCTAGGCCAAACAATAATTCCATGAAGTAGGAGGAACAGTACTATGATTGTCCCCATTTTATAGATGAGGAAACAGAGGCAAAGAGAACTCAAGTAACTTGCCCGAGGTCACATTATTCTTTAACACAAATACTCTCTTCCAGACAGTTCAGCCTCAAAATATGTCCTCTCTCCCATCACTGATTTATCTCTACTTACCATCCTTCATTAACCAGAACAAGTCTCACTTCTTCTAGGCAATCCTATTTCCTGTCCATTGAGGTCTTAGTGATTTCTCCCTCTTTTGATCTCCTGTGGTAGTAACAGTCTGTACCATATATTATAATCCACAAACATTCTCTATTTCTTTCACATAAGCATGTCTCATCTCCCCATCTAAATTGACACTTCTTTAGGACAGGAAATATACCATTAGCACAACTGCACACCTCACAGCACCCAAGAGTGCCAGGCATACAGCAGGTTTTCAATCAGTGCTTCTTCATTGATTTTACCTTGTTCTCAAAGACAGTGTTGTTCATCAGGGCATATAATTTCTGAACCAGTTCATCCTTATTTCTCTTGAATTTCCTTCCAGAATACTGCTTTAACTTTTCAGTGTCACCCAAGAAACATCCAGCTATATTGCAGTCAGTGTTCCTGCAAAAGGAAATTCAACTGAGTCTTGTATAGCTAAAAAAATAAATTGAAGAAATACATACATGTAAAGAGAGACTTGGAAAACTTGCTGGTTCCTTCTCTTTCCAGCTCCTTATATGAGGGCAATTCTCAAGGTTCCATTCATAGCCTTTTCCTCTTCACTCTTTGCATATCCTCAGATTTGTGAAGCCCATGGTTTCAATCTCAACAGGAATGATCCTATACCTATATCTTCAGTCTCAATTTCTCTCCTAAGATCTAGTTCTGAGTTTACTATTAATTGTCCAATGCAAATTACCAACTGGCTCACATGAGCATGTCTCCAGCTCAATGTGTTTAATTATCCAACTTCTGTTATATACAAGCTGCAAACCTCAAAGACATTTCTTGATCATTTGTCTCTTAGGGTTAGGGTTAGGCACAATGGTAGACCGCTATCTCTTTCGTACCACCTCTTCTGTCCTTTCCACCTCACTGTCACCACCCTAGTTCCTCACCTCCCCTTTATACATTGCTATTACAGCATCCCTTTGTGTTCCTTGCCTCCAAGCTCTTTTTTCTAATGTAACTCACAAGCATACCTCCAGATTAATTTTCTAGGCCATGTTCCAATTATGTCCCACTGACTTCTTGGCCGAGGTCAATCTAGCCCTGACTTGTATTGCTTTTTTTTAAGATTTTTAAAACTGATTTTTAGAGAAAGTGGAAGGGAAAGAGAGAAACATCAATAAGCTGCTTCCTGCATGCCCCCTACTGGGGATCAAACCCACAAGCTGGACATGTGCCCTGACCAGGAATCCAACTGGCAACCTTACAGTGCATGGGAGGGCTTTCAACCAACTGAGCCACACCAGCCAGAGCTCCTGACTTCTATTTCTAACTTCCATTCCCATTCTGGTCAAAGTGAGCAACTTAAATATTCCCTTGATGGAAACTGTGATTTCCCAGTTCATTCATGCCTCAGTATGACCTATTTGCCCATGGCTTAGAATGGCCACATCTCCACTGAGAACAACCTCCTGGGTAACACTTTATAATTTGCCAAGAACTTCCTTTTGCATTATCATAGCTCATTCTCACAACTACCCTTCAAAAAAAAAAACACAAACTATTACTAGTCTTATGATCTCCACTTTGCAGATAAGAAAACTGAACCTCAAAGGTTTTAACTTACCCAAAATTCACAGAGAACGAAATCACATGACCAGTATTGCCGCCCCATCTTTAAAGGCCTAATTCAAATGCACAAACAACAGTGCTGAACACATAAAGGCCTCACCCTTGTGATAACTATTTATTGAAACAAAAGCATTTTTATCTTGGCTGGAACAATCCACAAGTCCAAAAAGACAAGCCCACAGAGCTGGAAAGATAAAACAGGAGCAAACACAGGGAAGTGAGTTTCTGACTTACCAGGGCACTCATTAACTCTTAAGTCACAAAATAAACCCTATGTGATGTGGCTGGGGTTAGGGAGAGGGGATAAAGTACCAGACCAGGCAAATGCAGCTAAAGTAAGGATCTTCATCACAAAGCCTGATATGACTAACATTCCTGCCTCAAATTACTTAGTTCTGAAAGCAAATTTATATCAGTAAAGGTGGCAGATGAAGACCAGAACCATCTGCAGACCTCAGCAGAGACTGTGAACCATGTATTTGTGCTCACAGCAAGCAGGCCTTGTGGCTTAGCATACCTTCACCTCAATGCCTGTGCCATTTTACTGCAGGCTAGGTGTCACTACATCAAAGGAGTTAACAAGACCCAAAATGGGTACATTAGACACCATGACCAGTAAGCAGCATTCACAGGAACAATGCTAAGCACAACAGGAAGCCTACAGACTGAAACAGGAAGTACCAAGGCAACACTGAGGAGCCTAAACAGACTAGTCTCCTTTGCATGAAGCAGAAGACAATGACAAAGGGGCAGCTTCTTTCTTCTTTTGTCACACTGTCCAGCCAAGCAACCTTGAAGCAAACAAAAACACCCGTTCCTATAGGCAAAGCAGCTTGAATGTGTATCTAGGAATCCAAAGAAGAAACTTTGCTGGAAGGGGGCCTTCTAGTACAGAACAAGCCAGGCTGCTGTCAGCTGCCTCACCCGGTGAGAAGTGCAGAAACAGAACCTTTCTCCTCAGGCCCAATGCCTGATACATCACTCCTCTTCTCCCCTTAAGATGCACTTACTGGCCCAGAACACAAGTAAAAAAAATAAACATACAATCCTTCGAATATATGCTTTCTATCATAATTCAGATGTAAGTATATACTGCTCCTGAATGCAAGTAAAAACAAAGACATTATGCACACTGCATCATATTATTAAAGAAAAAAGTGAGAAGTCCCAGAATCTAAATGAAAAACTGTATTCATTCTTTGCTTCCTTTAAGTAGTAGCATGTCTTTGGTCAAAATGGCCTATTGCTTTCGATTATCAATAAAAATAAAGGAACTATAAGCAATCTATTTCACCCCAATGTTTAATAAAGCTTGAAAATTATGCAAGAATATATAGAAGTAGTAAGAGTAACCGAGTTCATAAAAAACCTGGAAGACAATCCTGCCTGCCCTCCCCCTGATACCAACGGACTGCAACATGTCAGTACTGCCTTCTCACCATTTCCACTGCATTTGCTTGGTTTAGTGCAAACTAATGGCCATGAGGCTGGCGGAAAAAATAGTATCTTGTTTGGCTACATATCATTTTTTCATCTGAGTTAAAGGGCAAAGGAAACCTCAGAGGCCAGAGTTGCTACAGGGGCAAAGGCTTCCTAGTTGCCTGCAAACTGCAGGGGTCTCTGCAAAGTGCCACCCCAGTTCTGTTGGGGGAAAGGGAGGAGAGGAATGGCTAGAACCTGGGCCTCTCCCTCCTGCTTATGCCTTCCCAGTTCAGGGATGGAAACTTTTGTCCCTCTCCTTCACCAGTCTCCTTCACCCACCTTGAATCTCCCAACACGTAACCAGTGGGCTACTTAACATCTGATATTTATTCAATCAATTCCTGGTTGTTTGAACTTGAGCAGTACGTACCTAGGCTCATGCTTCTTGGGTCACGCTGCTCTGCATTTCTTCTTTGAAGGCTGTACCCGCTTTTGTCCTCTAATAGCTGAAAAGATAATAGTTCATTTGTACCCCGAAAACTGGTACCATCAAGCAACTGGCAGAAACCTAGAAGGACCACCCCCCATAGTCATGCCCAGATCAGCATCTATAAGCAACAACTGTCTGCCTGAAGGCTGAATACTGCTCCATAAATCAGCATGAAATATTTACATACTGACTCAGAACTGCCCGCAGAAAAAGCTGTATATGACTCTGTCACAAGCACTGAGACTTATAATGAGGTCACAGGAGCTAGTGATGAGGTTGGACTGTGAGGGCAACTGAGGTGTTATTGTAGGAGTACAAGGAGTGGCATAGCATATCTCACACACTTGCTCTAAGGAATATGTGTGAGATATGCTATATCTCAGGAAGCACCTTCACTCTATATGAAAGCCAATCTTTCCACCATTGTCTAGCTCCCATACTGCTGGTGGCTCTAGCCAGAGACTTATGTATCAGGAGTGTCATTCAGTCACTTAAAATATTTATTAAGCATCTGTTATGTGCCAAACACCTGGTTAGAACCTGGGAGAGACTAAAAAGTAAGAGTCCTCCAATAAATAGGCTCAGTGTCTACTGAGGGAACAGATACAGATGTGAGTGCTTTAACAGAGGTGGGGTCTAAAAATCTGGGAACCCATGAGGAGGAGCAACTGTGATTTATAGCTTCCTAGAAGTGACAACTGGGCTGGGTTCTGAGAAAAATCAGATAGCCTCAGGACAAAAAGCTCAGGGACAGCTCTAGTTGGTCTGACTCAGGGGTTAGAGTGTTGGCCCCTGTACTGCAGGGTCCCGAGTTTGATTCTGGTTGCAGGTTCAATCCCTGATCCCCAGCCCTGATGGGGCTGTGGGTGGAACAAAACCAATCAATCTGTCTCTCTCATATGGATGTTTCTCTCTCTCTCTCCCCCTCCCTTCCACTCTCTTTAAAAATCAATGGTGGGGGCAAGATAGCCTCAGGTGAGGATTAATAACAAAAAAGCTCAGGGAGAAAGCACTCCAGGCAGATAGGATTGTGAACGTTAAGACTTGGGTACTCCTCCTGCATTCCTGGAAAGATCCAGTTCATTGGGATTTTAGGCTTAGTGGCCAAAGGATGGTGACCTCCCTCAGCCACCAAGCAGCTGTTGAAATGGCTCAGGGTTGATCAGAGAACTAAGGCTGCAACATAGGTAAGGTGACCAGACGTCCCGCTTTTGACAGGACAGTCCCGATTTTTAACAATTTGTCCCGCATCCCGAGGCTTTTTAAAAAAGTCCCGATTTTTGGAAAGAATGCACGACAAGCTAGGGAACGGTGGGAGAATGGGAAGGAAATATACGGTTTTTTGGCAGCCATATGACTATTTAGCCAGGATATGAGTTTTATATTATTTTTGTTAATTTTATAATGTTAAACTTTAATAATAACAAATAATTGTTGAGAACTGATTATAGAAAACTGTTTATCAAAGTTTGCATTGTTGATCAGTTGTAAGGATTCAACCACCATTGTTTGGACTTAATGAACAATGGCATTTTTTGGGATTGGCAACGACGAAAACATTTTGTAACTGTCAGACGATGCGTGCTAGTAAGCTAGTTAAACAAGTGATGTCATTACAAATCAGCTATTCAGATAATTTAGGTAAGTAATTTATTTATTTCATAAATACATAAATTTTCTTAAATTTAGCAGACAGTACTTGTATTATTTATATTTTATAGTGGCAGCAATAAGTCTAGTGCCAGCCTGACACTTACAACTATACATAATTAATTATTTATTTATTACATTTGTAAATTGTACTTATGTTGAAATTAAATATATATATATATATATATATATATATATATATATATATATTACAATACTATTTTTGCGTTCTATGAAAATTTTTGTTGCTCTATATAGACCAAATTTTTAATCAAGAACACCCCTCCTCCCCAATCAATGGTGTCCTGCTTTACCAATGTTGAAATCCGGTCACCTTAGGCATAGGTAAACACCTATACTTGCTGCCTTTCGCAACCACATAAAAATTACAACTAAAAGGCATAACAACTACCATCAGGAATGGCGGGAAAGCTGGTTGACCATAAGTTCCACAACTAAAGAGGTGAAGAAAGCACATTGAGACTGGTAGGATGTGCATGGGCATGGAATGTGCTGACACCTGGATGCACTGCTCTTTTTTCTTTTTTTAATTTAATAAATACTTCAGATTATTACAATTGTTTCTCCTTTTCCCCTCCATAGCTCCCCTCTACCCAGTTCCTACCCCACCCTCTTCCCTTACCTCCCCCACCACTGTCCTCATCCATAGGTGTACCATTTTAGTCCAGTCTCTTCCCATACCCCCCACACCTCTTTCTCTCTGAGAATTATCAATCCACTCCCATTCTATGCCCCTGATTCTATTATATTCACCAGTTTATTCTGTTCCTCAGATTTTTAATTCACTTGATTTTTAGATTCACTTGTTGATAGATATGTATTTGTTGCTCATAATTTTTATCTTTACCTTTTTCTTCTTCCTCCTCTTCTTAAGAATACCTTTCAGCATTTCATATATTAGATAATACTGGTTTGGTGGTGACGAACTCCTTTAGCTTTTTCTTATCTGTGAAGCTCTTTATTTGACCTTCAATTCTGAATGATAACTTTGCTGGGTAGAATAATCTTGGTTGTAGGTTCTTGCTATTCATCACTTTGAATATTTCTTGCCATTCTTGCCTGGCCTGCATAGTTTCTGTTGAGAAATCTGCTGACAATTGTATGGGTGCTCCCTTGTAGGTAATTAACCATTTTCCTCTTGCTGCTTTTAATATTCTCTCTTTGTCTTTGCCCTTGGCGTTTTCATTATGTTGTGTTTCAGTGTGATCCTCTTTGGTTTTCTTTTGTTTGGGATTCTGTGCATTTCCTAGACTTGTAAATCTATTTCTTTCACCAGGTGGGGGAAGTTTTCTGTCACTATTTCTTCCAATAGGTTTTCAGTATCTTGAGCTCTCTCTTTTTCTGGCACCCCCATAATTCTGATGTTGGTATACTTGAAGTTGTCCCAGAGGCTTCTTATACTATCTTCAAATTTTTGGCTTCTCTTTTTGTTTTGCTTTCCTGGTTGAGTGTTTTTTGCTTCTTTGTATTTCAAATCTTTGACTTGATTCTTGCATTCCTTTAGTCTGCTGTTGGGTTTCTGTATAATATTTTTATTTCAGTCAGTATATATTTAATTTCTAGTTGGTCCTTTTTCATATCCTCGAGGGTCTTGCTAAATTTATCGGCCTTTTCTAGGAAATTCTTGAAGAACCTTATAACCGTGCTTTTGAACTCTATATCCAGTCATTTGTTTTCCTCCATTTGTTTCATTAGTGATCTGATTCTTTGTCTCTGCATTTTCACTGCTTCCCTGAGTTGGTATGGTGGCTTTGTGTGCTAGGTGTCCTGTATGGGCCAGTGGGTAGGCCTCCCAGTTACCAGAGGTAGACACTCTTTTTAAAAATATATATATTTTATTTATTTTTTACAAAAAGGAAGAGAGAGGGATAGAGAATTAGAAACATCAGTCAGTTGCCTCCTGCACACCCCCCACAGTTGCCTGCCTGCAACCAACATACATTCCCTTTATCAGAATCAAATCCAGGACCCCCCAGTCCACAGGCCAATGCTCTATCCACTGGGCCAAACCGGTTTGGGCTGAGGTGGACACTCTTGGTGCACCCCTTTATGGACACTGTGTACAGCCTTGTTGTATCAATAGTTAAGTCTTGATTGTTATTGGTGTCACTGGGAGGAATTGACCTCCAGGCCAATTGGCTATGAGGACCTGCTGTGTCTATAATGGAAGAACTGCTGTGCTGGAGACATGCTTATGGGGCAGGACTTGTTTCAGTGGGGCTTTGGTGCTCACTGATTCTGCCTCTTGAATGTGTCAATTATGGATGTGAGTAGTGGAAATCTGGTGTTGTCTCACACTGACCACTAGATACACTAGCTTCTGGATCTCCAATGGGGTGCAGGTCAGCTACTGTCTGAGTCCACCCAGCAGGAGCTACAGCAAGAACTACAGTTTTCTCCTCTTTGCTTGGAGTTTGGAGGTTTTGGAGCCGTCTGACCAGATCTGCAGTTTGTTAGGTTAAGTTGTGATAGGGCAGGCCATTTATATGCAAAAGCTGCTGCGTGGAACTTGGGTGGGTTTGTAGATTGTGTGGGGTGGGGTCTTAGGGAGTCAGTAGGCTAGGGCGTGGCAAACAGTGATGGCTGCCAGTCAGCCATCTCTGTGTTTCTGCATTTCCAAGTCCCTGTGTTCTGTGCCCCAGCACAGTAAACAATGATTGCTGGGTGAACCTCTGCAAGAAAGTCACCCTCACTTTCTGACCCAATATCAGACAGCCCAGCTTCTCCCAGTAGGAGTTTAGGTCCCCAGGGGCTCCCCAGAAACTGGAGTTCAGAATAATTGGGAGCATGTCTCCCTTTGGGTTGAAAACAGCAGGGCACGTAGTCGCCTGCTGCCAGCCCTATTTGCATGTCTCCATACCTCAGCTTTTCAGTGCTTGTGCACGTCTCAATGCTCTTTTCTCTTTCCTTCTAGTTGTAGAACTTCCATTCAGCCAGCTTTCCCATGGTTCTGGGTGATAGACGTTTTGTCTTTTAGTTGTAGTTTTGAAATTGTGCGAGGCAGCAGTTTAGGTGTTTACCTATGCTGTCATCTTGGTTTCTCCCTTGTGCTCTTTTAATTGGGAGGCAGATACAAGCTTCCACTTGCTCTGAACTCCAGTTCCAGGTGAGACTCTGGGGGACCCAGACACATATGGAGAGAAACTAGACTGTCTGGCATTGGGACAGGAACATGAGGAAGGTTTTCTCTGAAAAGTGCTCACAGCAATCATTGTTCCTAGACAGGGGTGTGGGATTCACAGACCCAGGAACCTCTCTGGTACAGGGCTGACTGGCAGCCATTGCTATTTGCTCTCCCCTGGTGATTCCCAGAGATCCCGCCCCACCCAATTTACAACCCCGCCCAAGCTGTGCAGTGTGAATTTTGCATATGAATGACCTGTCCTTTATCAGCTTAAAACCTGTCAAACAAGCTGTAGCTGGGTCAGAGAGCCCCAAAGCTATCAATAAAATGCCCAAGGCCTGGCAACAGCAGCCTGTCTTGCTTCACAGCTGGGCCTTGTCTGGCACTTTCAAACTCCATACAAAGAGGAGGAATCTGAAGATCTCTCTATAGCTCCTGCTGGGTGACCCCAGACAGTGGCTGATCTTGTACTTCCTTGGAGACCCAAGAACCAGTGTAGCCAGAGGACAGAATGAGACCATACCGGATTAAAACTCTTTATATCCATAAGTGACACACTCAAAGAGCAGACTCAGTGAGCACCAAAGCCCCACTGAATCAACTCCTGCCCCATAAGGGTGTCTCCTGCACAGCAGATCTTCCAGTGTAGACACAGCTGGTCATCACAGCCAGTTGGCCTAGAGGTCAAATCCTTCCAGGGATACTAACAGCAATCAAGGGTTAACTACAACAAGACTGTGAACACAGCCCACCAAGAGCATCCACCTCAGGTGCCTGGGGAAGCTAAGCCACTGGACCCTATAGGACACCTACCACACAAGGCCACTCTATCAACTCAAGGCAACTTATCAGCTACCCAGTACATAGAAACAAACACAGGGAAGCAACCAAAATGCGGAGACAAAGAAACAAGCCACAAATTAAAGAATGGATGAAAGCAAAATACTGGATATAGAGTTCAAAACCACGGTTATAAGGTCACTCAAGAATCTTCTAGAAACCTCTGAGAAATTTAGTGAGACCTTCAAGGATATGGAAAAGGACCAATCAGAAATGAAGCATACATTGACTGGAATAAAGAATAATATAGAGATCCACAGCAGACTAGAGGATTCCCAACAATCAAGTAAAAAAATTGAAATACGAGGAAGCAAAAAACACCCAACTAGAAAAGCAAAAAGAAAAAAGAATCCAAAATATAAAGATGGTGTAAATAGCCTTTGGGACAATTTCAAGCGTACCAACATCTGAATTATGGGGGTTTCAGAAGAAGAGAGAGAGAGCAAGACACTGGAAACCTATTTGAAGAAATAATGACTGGAAACTTCCCCCACCTGGTGAAAGAAATAGACTTATAAGTCCATGAAGCCCAGGGATCCCCAAACAAAAGGAATCTAAAGAGGACCACACCAAGACACATCATATAATAATTAAAATACCAAGGGCAAAAGACAAAGAGAGAATCTTAAAAGCAGCAAGAGAAAAAGTTAGTTACTTACAAGGGAGTACTGTCAACCGATTTCACAACAGAAATTATGCAGGCCAGATAGGAGTGGCAAGAAATATTCAAAGTGATGAATAGCAAGAACCTACAACCAAGATTACTTTACCAAGAAAAGCTATCATTTAGAATTGAAGGTCAGATAAAGAGCTTCACAGACAAGAAAAAGCTAAAGGATTTCATTACCACCAAAGCTGTATTATATGAAATGCTAGGGTATTCTCTAAGAAGAGGATGAAGAAAAGGTAAAGATAAAAATATTATGAACAACAAAGTGACATCAAATACAAATCTATCAACAAGTGAATCTAAAAGTCAAATGAATAAAAACCCTGATGAACAAAACAGACTGGTGAATGTAATAGAATAAGGGGTATGGAAAGCGAGCAGAATGACAATTCTCATCAGGAAGGGGATGTGAGGGGTACGGGAAGAGATTGGACAAAGAGTTTACACCTATAGATGAGGTCAGCAGGAGGGAAGCCTATAGTGAGGTTAGAACTGGGTGGAGGGGTGCTATGGTGGGGGAAAAAGAGGACCATCTGTAATAATCTGAACAATGAAGTTTTTTTAAAGGGTAGAGATAAAAAAAGAAAGGAAGGGAGGGAGGGAGGGAGGGAGGGAGGGAGGGAGGAAGGAAGGAAGGAAGGAAGGAAGGAAGGAAGGAAGGAAGGAAGGAAGGAAGGAAGGACGAAAGAAAGAAAGAAAGAAAGAAAGAAAGAAAGAAAGAAAGAAAGAAAGAAAGAAAGAAAGAAAGAAAGAAGGCACAGGGTTTGCAGGTAGGAAAGGCAGACCCAACAAGACATATATCCATATATCCAGGGGAAAGGGCAGGGCAGGCACGGCTGGCACACTTGAAGAGCCACTTGGGGGAATAGGGAGTACTTGGCTTGACTGGCTTACCAGGTGTCACACATATATTTTTGGTTTTACATTTCCTTTTCCTTGGTACAGGTACAAGCTCTCCATCAGTTAACATATTTATATCTGAAATGTCTACTTCAACCTTGGCAGCATTTGGTAGTTGGCAGAGATTTTCATGAGATGAATTGCATGGAGAGAGAGCACACTGGTCCATCTTCTTTTCAATTGAGGCCATTTCATCAGCTGCATCCTCTTCTGTTGTCACAGGGCCCTCCACATTACTATCATCATCATCACTGATAATTATTGGAAACTCGTGGATCATAATGTCATCAATATCAGATAACACTTCCAGAATCTCATCTGAAATTCAAGAGGCACATTCACATATAAGCAGACTTTCTCCACCCTATGCTCCCACCCTGAGACACTCAACTTCCAATTATTGAGCAGAAATTAAGCAAGCAGGAAACTGTGACATTATGAATCACAGTTAAGAATCAGTTATTCTAGATTATTTTCCCTCTATTACTTTTTTACTTTATAGAGAACAGTTACAGATAAAACCAATCCAAGTCCAGTGGAAATCTTCAAATCACATTCTCTAAATAACATGATGTAGGAGATCAGCAGTTCCCAAATACAGGTCTATAGACTTGTTTATTCTCACTGGTCCATAGACAAATAAGAGACAATAGAATAATACAGTTGGTTTTTTCCCATCAAGTTCAATTTCTATAATTTAAAAGACTGTCCTTTATTTTGAAATTATGTTCTCACTAAACTTTTGGGACTTTTTACTTTATGAAATATGGTGATAGCAGATAGTAGTTGGAGTGTATTTCCATCACCAGACAAATTAAAAATTGGCAATTCTATACTAGCCACCAAAATTTAATTTTCTATCCACTGATGTAAGAGTGAGGAGTTAAGTCCTGATGTCAGCACTGAGAGGCCTTGTGAGCATTCGGAATGTCATCACCTTCAGTTGAAGGAGACCTTCACCTGATTTGAAGGATGGCATGTCTAACACCACATGCTCTCTGCAGTCTGTTCAGAGCTCAGCTTCTGGTTTCTGATTCTGGATGTAAAAATGTAAACCAGAGCAGAGGCAGGATGTGAAACAAATTCATGGCACAAAAAAAATCTTTATCATAAAATTTTAGATTTGGGAGAATGTATATTGAGACTCTCATCTATTATTTCAATTAATTACCAAACAACTTTTTTTAAAATATATTTTATTGATTTTTTACAGAGAGGAAGGGAGAAAGACAGAGAGCTAGAAAAGTCGATGAGAGAGAAACATCGACCGGCTGCCTCCTGCACATCCCCTACCGGGGATGAGCCTGCAACCAATGTACATGCCCCTGACCGGAATCGAACCCGGGACCTTTCAGTCCGCAGACCGACGCTCTACCACTGAGCCAAACCGGCTTTGGCCCAAAGAACTTTAGATGTGCAATAAGGAAAGAGAAAGGAGTAGACATTCCTATTGTAAAAAGCATGTTTCCCAGAAAATTTGAAGATTTCCCACTTCAATTAAAATTTTTAAAACAAAACAGTGGGGACACACTGCTCAAAATCCATAAAGCATGACCCCGTCCATTGACAAAGGTTAGAAGTGAGGTTGGAAGAGTTTTAAAATTCCTCTGGCCTATTTTTCTGTAAAATTACCAAGATTCATGTGGAGAATAGTAAAGAGACAAAGCCAGTCCTTTGGAGACTTCTTCATCCCTCCATGACTAAAATGGATGCCCATAGTTACAGCCATAGGTCAGGTAAGAGCAGCCTGAGTTGAAAGTTCACCCTCAAAAGACTACAGATCTTCTGACTCAAGTAGTCAGCAGCTAGTGGCCTATGGGCTCTGTCACTCATTCTCTACTCTGCAGCTACCTCCCAGGGACCCCTTTGCATTACAGTACCTGGACCCCTGTGGACAGGTGGTGGAACAGGAGACTAGGACTCTAAGCCACCTCTTTTCCCTGCTCTCATATCCCATGTTAGCTAGGAAATGCTAGTAACCAGTACCTTAACTAAGCACCTATGTATCATGCCCTACACCTTGTACTAAGCAAACAAAAATAAAAAAATACCACCCCAGATCTTAAGAAGCTCCTAGTCTTCCTGCATTTCACACCCACTGAGCAGGTTCTAACCTGGGAGTAAAGCTCCACCCTCCCACAAGGTTAAAAGGGCCTCTGATTCTAAAGAGGTAAGGTCTTACTGCAGGAAATAGGTGGTAAGAAAAACAGGAATCTCTAGAAAACATACAGAGAGCAGCAAAAGGCAAAGGCAAAGAGCTAGATGAAGAAAGCACTGATTCCCCTGCAGGCTCATGATCATCACCCACTCCATCAGGCAGAAAGAAGGAGCCCATGCCTCTCTTATTCCTCTTTGTTACTCCCACATAGCGAGAAGGAAGAAGGGTGTCTTTGGCTTGCTTCCCTCTGCTCCCTTAAAGCAGTGCTACGTAGGTGAGAACTCCATTGAGAGAAATGCCTAGAGTCTCAGGCAGCAGCAGGAGCAGTTGCTGTGTTAGGAACCCTACCAAGAGGTGTAGGGAATCCAGCCATATCCACATCTGGCACATATTAGGAAAGAAATGGTAGCATTCACTACTAGTAACTCAGAATAGAACTTTGGCTGACTTACCTGCAATGCTTGTGTGATGAGCTTGCAGAGCTCAGCTGCTTCTCTAAGTTTGTGGTATACTTGCCTCTGCCACTTTTGGAGTCCTTACTTCCATCTTTCTCAGGGAAGTATTCGTCATCAGAATCCGAGTAAATCACTACGTAACTGAATGTAAGATAGGGAAACACCAAAGAAAAGTGTGAACACATTATTTCCATGACATTTTCGATCTTTTCTACAATGAACAGGTTCACTTTGTTATCCCCTTGACCATTCCATCCTTAAAATTATCTTGTTTCTTGATTTCCAGGATACTGTTCTGTTTCCATTCTCTTCTAACTTTTCCATCTACTCCTCACTCACTACTTAACCTCATCACGTTCCCAGAGTTTATCTAATAGCCCTTTCCTACCAATCTAATCAATTCCTTGGGACTGAGTAAGCATTATCTATCTGCCCACCCAATCCATTCTATCCAGTCTGATTTTGCCTCTGATTTCTGTCTCCTCAATTCCAAATTCCTGCCTGAATGTCCTGTGTGGAGAGCCAATTTTTAGTCAGCATGCATAAAAATAGGCAGCCATGCTAATTCCTATCTGTACTCAAATGGTCGTTAAATGTTTTAAATATCAGCCCTGGTTACTGGCCCCTTAATTTCAACATGCCCCAAACTAAACTTATCACTTTCGTCCCCAAATCCACCCTACCTACAGTATCCCACAGAGAGAGACCACCTGGCACTGAACCAGGATCTATGAGCACTCCTGACAGGCCCCTTAAAATGGATTTTCTTTACATGTTCAGTCTATCAGAGGCAGGAAGAAACTGATTTTTATATTTAAAAATTAAACAGTTTTAATTTATCAAATAAAGATTTTATTATGTATAATATTAGGGGCCCGGTACATGAAATTTGTGCATAGAAGCAGGGGGGGTTCCCTCAGCCCAGGCTGCACCCTCTCCAATTGGGGACCCCTTGGGGGATGTCTGACTGCCAGTATAGGCCCGATCCCACAATCTGGGAATGCTAGCTCCTAACTGCTCATCTGCCTGCCTGCCTGCCTGCCTGATTGCCCCTAATTGCCTCTGCCTGCCAGGCTGATCACCCCTAACTGTACTCCCGTGCCAGCCTGGTTGCCACTAACTGCCTCTGCCTGCCTGCCTGATCACCCCTAACTGCCCTCCCCTTTCAGACTGCTTGCCCCAACTGCCCACCCCTGCCAGTTGGATCTCATCCCCAACAGCCCCCCCCTGCAAGCCTGATCTCACGTCCAATGCCCTCCCCTGCTCGCCTGATCTTGCCCCCAACTGCCCTCCTCTGCTTGCCAATTTGTTTCTGATTGGTCAGTTTCTATGCCAGTCAGCATCAGAAACTCTACCTCCTAGGCAGCCATTGGCTCCCCACAGCACCCATATTTGTTTCTGATTGGTCACTTCCTATGCCAGTCAGCATCTCTGGGCCTATCAATGGGGCCTGATCAGAAAAGTGGGGCTGATCAGCAGCCCCAGTGGAGGTCTGGAGAGAAATGGAGGCACGGCTGCTGGCTAGACTGGGAGAGAAAGAGAGAGGCAAGTGATGATCAAAAGCTGCCACAGAGGCAACGAATCAGTCCCTGCTTCTCTCTTTAGGCCTTTCTCTGGCCCTGATTCGCAGCCCCCACAGCAGTCAGTGCTGGGGCACCACACCTGTAGCGGCAGTCAGCACTGGGTTGGTAGCAACTCAGAGCTGACTGCAAAACTAACTTCTGGTTAGTTGAGCCTCAGTCTTTACTGGTTGTTAAGACCGAAGGTTTTTATATATTAGGATTATAGACCAGACTACTTTTAAGAATCCATGATAAACCATTTAAAATGAAAATTACAGTAATGGAAATATTCTGCATCTTTGATTGTGGTGATGGTTACACAACAGTATATGAGTTTTGTCAAAATTCATCAAACTGTACATTGAAAAAGTGTGAATTTTTCTGTGTGTAAATCAAACCTCAAAAACCTGCCTTAAGTATAAATAATAAAACTGATTGTTTCCAATAAATAGCTTTATATAATGCATTATTTGGTTCCAGAATTAAATCTGACTGCAACTGCTGACTTTAAATCACTTTTCACACACTGGTGGCAGGCTTTATGGTTTACATATTGCAAAATAATCAACAGAGATAAATCAGAGATAACTAGAAAAAAATTTCCCACTTGACAGAACTATTAATATTTGGATGGGGTGGGGGGGAGAAAGAGGCAGAAATGACTAATTGGCATTTCTACAGAGGTGTAAGGAGTATATGTGGAAACCATAGTCAACTAGTACAATATTTCAGATTTATTACAATAATTGTAACATCTCCTATAGTTTGGCACAATGGCATCACCTGTTCATCTAGCTCTGGCTAGATTAGAAGACTCCTTAATAGAAATAGAAGATAATGCTGAAAGATGGAAGAGGGTCGGACCACAGAGGTCTTTTAACTACTCAACTGGACAGCTTGATTTTCCTATGACAAGCAATTGAAATAGGGGATCAATATGGCCAAAACAATATCTCTGGAGATGAATCTGGAAGTGGGATGCATACTGGATAAGAGGATGAGCCACTTAAAAAACACTCTTACACTAACACAACAGTGAAAACTGATCAGGGACTGTGAAGTGGATACGGGAAGTTAAGAGATGGTACACAGTGACATTCTGAAGAAGAATTTGACTAATTAGATAATGGACCAGAATTAAGGAATCTAATATTTTCCTTTCTTTTCTTTTCTTTTAGTTTGTCTGAATTCTCTATTTTTTTAATAAATCTTTATTGTTCAGATTATTACAAATATGTTCCTCTTCTCCCGCCCCCCCTCAATTGCACCCCTCCACCAGGTTCCCACCCCACCCTTTGTCCTTTCCCCATTCTTCTCCTCCTCCTCATCTCCTCCTCCTCCTCCTCCTTCTTCTCCTCCTTCTCCTCCTTCTCCTCCTCCTCCTCCTCCTCTCCTTCTCCTCCTCCTCCTTTTCTTCTTCTTCTCCTTCTCCTTCTTCTCCTCCTCTTCTTCTTCTTCTTCTCCTTCTCCTTCTCCTTCTCCTCTTCCTCTTCTCCTCCTCCTCCTCCTCCTCCTCCTCCTCCTCCTAATAGAAGAAGCAGAGGATCGCATCAGTGAGCTATAAGACAAGGTAGGAAAAAATACCCAAGGAGAACAGCATCTATTATAGAAAAAAAAATTTTTTAAACATAAGGAGAGTCTAAGGGAATTTTGGGACAACACGAAACGAAACAAAATCCACATAATAGGGGTGCCAGAAGGAAATGAAACTGAGCAAGGAATAGAAAACCTGTTTGAAAAAATAATGACAGAAAACTTCCCTGATATAGTGAAGAAAAAACTCACACAAATCCAAGAAGCTCACAGAGACCCAAGCAAAATGAACCCCAAAAGTTCAAGGCACATTATAATTACATTGGCAAACACCAACAACAAAGTAAGAATCTTAAAAGCGGCCAGAGACAGACAGAAAGTTACCTACAAAGAATCACCCATCAGACTAGCGACTTATTTCTCAACAGAAACACATTAGGCCAGAAGGGAATGAAATGAAATATACAAAGTCATGCAAAGGAAGGGTCTGAATCCAAGAATACTGTACCCAGCAAGGCTATCAATCAAAATTGAAGGTAAAATCAGGAGCTTCACAGACAAAAATGGACTAAGGAATATTATTACCAACAAACCAGCAATGTAAGAAATGCTAAAGGGTCTGCTGTAAAAAGAAGAAATAGGAAGCAAAGAAGGAACACAGGGGTAAAGAATAAAAATGGCGACAAACAAGTACCAATCAATAATAACATTACATTTAAATGGAATAAATGCCCCAATCAAAAGACATAGGGTAACGGATTGAATAAGAAAACATGACCTATATATCTGCTGTCTACAGAAAACTCACCTCAGAAAAAAAAGATGCACACAGACTGATGGTGAAGGGATGGAAAAAGGTCTTTCAAGCCAATGGTAATGAAAGAAAAGCTGGGGTAGCAATACTTTTATATGACAAATAAGATCTCAAAGAGAAGGACATAAAAAGAGATAAGGAAGTCCACTCCATAACACTAAAGGGAGTGATCCAACAAGAAGAAATAACTCTGGTAAACATATATGCACCCAATACAGGAGCACCCAAATACATTAAAAAAAATAAAAAAATAAAAAAACTTCTGGAGGATATCAATGGAGAGATTGACAGCAATACAGTCATAGTAGGGGACTTTAATACCCCACTATTACCATTGAACAAATCCTCTAAACAAAAAATCAGCAAAGAGCCGGGACCGGTTTGGTTCAATGGATAGAGCGTTGGCTTGGGGACTGAAGGGTCCCGGGTTCGATTCCGGTCAAGAGCATGTACCTTGGTAGTGGGCACATCCCCAGTAGGGGGTGTGCAAGAGGCAGCTGATCGATGACTCTCATCAATGTTTCTAACTCTCTCTCTCTCTTCCTCTCTGTACAAAATCAATAAAATATATTTAAAAAAAAATCAGCAAAGAAACATCAACCCTAAATGACTCACTAGACCAGATGGAATTAATTGACATCTTTAGAACATTGCACCCCAAAGTTACAGAATATACATTCTACTCAAGTGCACATGGATTATTTTCAAAAATAGACCATATATTGGGTCACAGGCAAAGTCTCTTCAAACTCAAGAAGATAGAAATCATATCAAGCATCTTCTTATATCACAGTGGCATAAAACTAGAAATCAACTACAATAAAAACAATCCAAAAAAAATCAAACACGTGGAGACTAAATAGCATGCTATTAAATATTGACTGGGTTACTAGAGAGATCAAAGAAGAACTAAAAAAAAAACATCCTGGAAAAATATGACAATGAATACACAATCCAAAATCTTTGGGACACAGCAAAAGCAGTTTTGAGGGAAATTCAAAGCTCTACAAGCTTAATGAAAGAAAAAAAAAGAAAAGAGGAAAAAAAAAAAAAAACAGAAACAAGAAACAATGGTAATAAATTACCTAACCCTACAACTCAAAGAGTTATAAAAAAGCAAAACGAAAATCCCAGTATAAGCAGAAGGAAGAAAATAATCAAGATCAGAGCAGAGATAAGCAACATAGAGACCAAAATAACACTACAAAAGTTCAACAAAACAAAGTGCTGGTTCTCAGAAAGGATAAACAAGATTTATGAGCCTCTTGCCAGGCTCACCAAGAAGCAAAGAGAGAGGACTCAAATAAACAAAATCAGAAACAAAAGAGGTGAAATAATAACAGACCCCTCAGAAACACAAAGGATTGTTTAAAAAAATACTATGAACAACTCTATCCCAACAAACTGGACAACCTGGAGGAAATGGACATATTCCTAGAAAAAATACAACCTTCCAAAACTCAGTCATGAAGAATCTGAACAGCTCATTAGGCCAATAACTATGGAAGAAATTGAAGCAGTCATCAAAAAGCTTCCAGCAAACAAAAGCCTGGGGCCAGATGGGTTCACAGGGAAGTTTTATCAAACATTCAAGGAAGAACTAAAACCTATCCTTCTCAGACTATTCCAAAAAATTCAAGAGGAAGAAACACTTCCAAGCTCATTCTATGAAACCAGCATCACCCTAATACCAAAACCAGATAAAGATAACACAGTGAAAGAGAATTACAGGCCAATATCCCTCATGAACATAGATGCCAAAATCCTCAATAAAATTCTAGCAAATTGGCTCCAGCAGTACATCAGAAAGATCATACATCATCACCAAGTAGGATTTATCCCTGGGATACAAGGATGGTACAATATCTGCAAGTCAATAAACATGATA